CCCCGACCTCCCTCAGAGGACAGCAAAAGCTTTAATGCTCGATCGATGGACTCAGAGCACCGCAGGAGCCATGCCCAGCTATAAAGGTCACAAACCCCAGCCGAGCAAAGAGAGATCGAAGTAGGAAGGTTACCACTCTTTCCTTATCTAAGTGCCTAGCAGTGGCTTGCAAACCTTATATATATATATGTGCTTATGAACTCCAAAGGCGTTTCATACCCAGACTGGCCACTAGGGGCGCCTTGATGCTGGACCGCCTCGAGCCTCTGGGCCAGGTTGCAGCTGCCGAAACCCTGGGGGCCCTCCAGAGTGCAGATGTGCTAGCCCCAAGTTTGGCCCAGGAGCAGCCTCCATTCATCCTAGGGCACAGGTCTGCAGAATTTCTAAGCCAATACTACCAGTAAAGCCAGATGAAGCAAGGTGTAGGTGTGGAGGAAACACTCTTTCTTTCAGTTAGCCTCAAAGGTGCAACAAGATCCCTTTGCAGAAGGAAATTTAAGTGAATCTAGAGCTTACTTTAGAGTGGGAGAAGTGATGGTGAAACCATGTAAGTTGATCCAAAGCCAAAATAATCCATTATCTATATCACATCGAGGAGTCCAAACAACAAAGTAAACCAACCCGGACCTTCTGACTACCTCTGGGTCCAATGATTTGTAAGTGCCTCCTAGATTGAGCATAACCCTGTTGAGAACCATGGTCCAGTTATTATGGCTCTGGATCTATCTATCCTCACTTTGGTTGCTTAGCATGACAACAGAGTTGATTTGTTGCACAGAATCCATAAAGGAAGGTAAAGGTATACCCTGTTGACAAGGCTGTCCGACCATAGGGGGTGGTGCTCATTTTCGTTACTAAGCCAAAGAGCCAGCATTGTCAGAGACTGCTCTGGTGATCCTGTGGCCAGCATGATTGCACAGAACGCTGTTTACCTTCCCACTGAAGTGGTACTTATTTACCTACTTGCATTTGCATGCTTTCGAACTGCTAGGTTGGCAGAAGCTGGGACTAGTGACAGGAGCTCACCCCATCATGCAGCACACGGGCCTCGAACTGCCAACCTGCCTGCCAACCTGCCGATCTTGCAATCAACAGACTTAGCCTCTTAACCACTTGAGCCACTGCATCCCGTATGCTCTCCTTATTAAGTAATAAACATGATTTTGCTATAGAGAAGAGGAGACTGCATTCTGGAAGTGATGACCCATTTCCTTTGTCGTGGGTGGAATGTTACTAATGCCAAGCTGGCCAACAGGTGACTTTTGAACATTTCCAGACATCAGAGACAACTCTTAGCTCTCTTGGTGGCAAACTCCCCCAGATCGTACCATTTCTGAAAAACATTTTTGATGAATATATGGCCTCTTTGGTGCCAGTCCTGAGTGCTCGTCTAATACCCGTACCTCTGGGGGTTGAGCCAGATATGGTTGAACTGTAACTCCCAGCATTCTTCACCATGGGCTATGCTGCCTGCAGTCAGCAACATCAGACACTAACACAAATTTCTGAAAACTCTGTTAGTCTAATACTTAAAGTTCAGACAATTACCTGTTTGAAGAACAAGTCATGCTCCCTCCATTTCTCTCTCTCTCTCTCTCACACACACACTGATGATTATGCAGGTGATGCACAAAGCACCTCGATCTCTTCCCAGAGAATACTTCAGAATTTACACATGAACACTGCCATTGGGGCAGTGAATCAGCTCCAGGTTTTAGTGCTGAACATATCTTAGACAGAGTTCAGCACTTTGGATAGTTCTTTTCAAATACATTTTAAAAACCCACAGAGCACATTCACCACCCTGTTACCCCAGGTGGTAAACTGAAATAGAAAATACACCCATATTGACAATCCTTATGTTGAAGTTATTTCCAGATCCTGATGACCCTATCCCTCTTGTACTCTAATGTGGCAACATCATGTTCCATGGCAATTGGGATAAAATAATATTCCTGTTTAGGTTGCATTTCTGCATTCAAAAACTGGGGAACATTGGCCATCCAGATGATGCTGGATTTGTTTCCCATCAGCCCATGTCACTCTGGTTAATGATGAGGGATGACTGGGGCCAGCCCAAGACATTTTGCTGTCCGAGGTGAAGGACAATAGTGTACATCCACCTGTGTTCCACATGCAAAAACTGACCAGGCTTGAAGTCCAATACCCTTACTGCTGGTGTTACTGCATCCTCCATTGCTCCAGAAGACAGGAGGCTAGCTTGAGTCCTTGATGATCCCTCACCATTGGCCAGGCTGGCACGGATTCAAGGAGAATTGGAATCTAGCATCCTCTAGACAGCAACAGGTTTTAAGTGTTTTTACCTATTCAATTGTTTAATATTCTTTTAATCTGTGTAATTTTAAAAATTGTTTTAAATTGGCCAAGTCGATATTTTTCTATGTTGCCCTGAGATCTTTTGATATAGAGCAAGGGTAGGCAACCTTTTTGAGCTGGGGGCCGGGTTGCTGTCCCTCAGACAATTAGGGGGCCGAAGCACCATAATAAATAAATAAATAAATAAAATTTAAAAAGATATGCATGCACACTCTCTCAGCCCCAGAAAAGCCATGGCAAAACCCCTGTGGAGATTTTGCCAAGAAAAACCCAAGAACAAGTAATAACAACAATAATCAATATCATAATGGTGGGCGGCGGCGGCAGCGGCAGGACCGGCCTGGGGCCGGTCCAAAGGCCTTGAGGGGCCACATCTGGCCCCCGGGCCTTAGGTTGCCTACCCCGATATAGAGCCCATGTGGCATAGCGGTTTCAGTGTTAGACTAGGATTCTAGAGACCATGGTTCAATTCCCTGGTCAAACATGAAACCTAGTGACTTTTAGCATGTCACATGCTCTCAGCCTAAGGGGAAGGCAATGGCAAACCTTCTCTCAACAAATTTTTCCAAGAAAACCCCATGATAGCCTTATCGGAAAGGACTTGAAGGCACACAACAATAATTAGTTAAACTAATAAGCAAACAAATCAATTACTAGCTAAGCTTGGGGGAGGCTGAGCACTAACATATGGCATTTACAGTTCTGTCTTGCCATTGCTCCTAACAGTATTAGTCTTTGGGATCATCAAAATAGTCACTTATCAATATCTTTTTTTTGGGGGGGGGGACAGGTTCCCCCCCCCACTTAAGTAGATTTACCTGGGGCAAATCCCTACTGAAGGATTGCTGTGCCAGAGACTGTGATATTTTAAATAAAATATGACTGCACTAATGCCTCATTGTGGGAAAGGTGGAAAAGATAAAGAAATGATTAGAACCATGTGAGAGAAGTAACAAAGGCCAATTAGCTGAAAAGTTAAAAAAATATTTATTAATACTAAAACAATGAATTGAGAGTTATACAAAATTCTCCATCATAACATCTTCTAGGTGTTTTTTTTTTAAACCTGCAAAATAAATTAAAAAATAAACAGCCTAGAAATCTCAAGCCTAAACTAGTATTAATGGCCCAGGAATACTGGAAGATAAGACATCACACAAGAGAAGCAAGCAAACAAGCAAGCAAGCCAGTCCAGCCAGGGTCAAACAAACAAACCCTAAAATGCAGCAGTAAGCCCCCAGCAAGATCAACGGGGCAGACATTGCTTTCAGCCTTGTTTAATATTCTGGCTGGAAAGTCTGTCCCACTCTAACAAAGAGCCTAAGCTTTCCCAGGGTAATAACATCTCCAACTTTTGTTCTCTTAGCACAAAAGCAAAGAAACAGCTCCAGTTAAAGCAATTAGAAAATGTCATACAAGGACTATTTGGCTTTCTTAAAATGAAACACACAGTGATTGACACACATTACAAGAAGCACTGAACCAATACTCACAAGTTTCCTTCTTGTGAAAGCCATTTCTTCTGAACTCAAAAGTATTAGTGGTGTATCAGAACACTGCAACATAAATTAAGTCTGATGTGTATTTGGTACTGTAGATGCAACTTTTAAGCAAGTGGACTTCACTTGGGCACTTCTGCTGATCAATGTATAGGAGCAATTTAGTTATTTCAGTGGGAAATCAAATTTGATACACACATATTATAGCACTATTTGGTGGCTTTTAAAAAAAACCTCTTAAAGTTTGGGAAAAGTAGCAACAGAACTTTAAACAACAGTTTACCACACCATTAAAACACACTCACCAAAATTAAGAAAAACATATAAAGGTAGGCTTTGAATACTACCTTTGAATACTACCTGTATCAACTGAAAAGCATAATTAGCACCACTTTGAACCACACAGTGGTGTGACTTTGAATGTGTATGAGATATACATATATATTATTTTTTTAATATTAGACCCCCTTAGGCTTCAAGCAACTAGTTGAGTCTACCAAAGTTGTTAAAACGGATTATCTTACTGGTTAAGGTAAGGCAGTTTTAGGATTACAAACTTTGGAATTAAAAGAATTTGTAACATAAAGGCACAGCATTAGAGCTTCCAAAGAAGGAAAGAGAGCAACAGAACTTTCACTTTTCCAAGCACACTAGGGAATACAAAGATGCCTGTCACCAGTGGCACTGACTGAAAGGCAGAGTCAAGAATCCAAAGAAGCTATACAAAAGTTTGAAAAAAGGCAGGAAAATCCCTCAGCAAATGGGAACTGCTGTACATTAAAATTACAGATGCAGAGAAAACATCTACAAAATAAACAGGTGAACAGGTTAGGCACCAGAAAAGAATGAGAAGAAAGCAGAAGAGAATGCACCAGGGTCAGATGGAATGTATCTGATGCTCACCAATGCAAGAGCATTGAAACACAGATGTATATACATGAATTTACCCTTCAGCTAGAGCCTAAGCTGTTTTATATTTGTGACAATAGTACTGTTGGAAGGGAAAAACTAATCCCTGCTCCTGGTATCTCAGCTGTAGCAATGGACCCCCATTGCAGCAGAACCCATTAATCTACTGGAGACCAATCTGGCAGGAGGCTTCACCAGGAAAGCTGATAGTCTCAACATCAAAACAGGAGGGAGGCCAATCTAACAGGAAGTTGCCACTCTTGTTTGTGGAACTGGCCCATTTACAAAAAGCTCTATCAGATAGTATGGAGTCTCATCTCCTTACTCTGCTTCAGAATCTTGGTCCTCCTTTGTAAGGTCTGTGAGTTAACCACTTGTAGCAAAAGGATCAAACAGCTGCAAACAAGTACTTGCCAAGCTAGCAGAGCAAGTCGGACTTTGTCACTGCAACATGTTTTGCAACACTCAAAGGATCTGCAATCAGCACACATATAACTGGATGTGCAGAAGGCACACTGTAGAAGTTAAAAAAGGAAATCATGACTTATAAAGGCCAAATAACACTTGATATAGAACATAAACAATGAGGTAGCAAACACCCCTTCTTTACTACAAAAGTCAGACACATCAACATCAAAGAACACAACTTCAACAGCATCGAGATGCCCAAGCCTGAACTTGCCAGGCTTTCTCAATAGCTTTCAAATTATCAAGTAGTGGAAGTACTCCTTTTCCACTACCTGGAAGTACTCCAGTTTTCCAAGCAGAGAATAGGGCAAAATCCACCACCAATAAAATCAGAAAATAAGATTTCACATTTCCTACTGCAGACTATTCTATAGGGCAAGAGTATAGCACTGAGAGGACAACACTAGATTGAAAAACAGTGAATGGGATAGAAGTACAGATCCCCCATGATTCCATGCACTGACATTTAGAATATATGCATTATCCAAATTCTGGAGCTGGATGTTTTCATTCTGAAGCAGACTTAGTGCTCACACTTAAAATTCTACATTAGAACAAGTGGCTTCCTTGCTAAAATTAGCAAGAAGTGCCATTTACTCTGGTATAGGCAAGATACCTTGATGGTACTTTGTTATTTTGCTATTTTTATAAAATATATATTGAGGTCCACTGATGTGCTTAAGAGAGCCATTTTGTAGAAAGTTCTCTGAACAATATGCAAGCCCTTCGCTTTGGCCTTGTGAGAAAAAAAGGGCCTAATGCATAAACAGCTCAAACCTTGGCCAGCATCCTGTTAATGACACAAAATGCTCATGCCTCTGTGCTCTACCCCAAAACCTGTCCTTCAGGAAGCTGTCAAGCCCTTGGTGGGGTGCTGCTGCTTCTTACCAATGGGAAGGGGAGGGAATGGAGAAGCAATTCAGACCATGAAGATATGGCTACTCTTGGCTCCTGGGGGAAGAACAAAAGGAGAGTGTACTCCATCCATGACTGCACCCTAGTTTCTCCCTTCTGCCCACTGAGTTGAGTCTGGCTACTATCTTGAACAGCATCTCCTTCCAGGGCTTGACAACTTCTGGATGGTTGGTGAGAAAGAAAAAACTATGCTGATAGCGCTTGTTGTGATGTAGGATCTTGGCTCTCATCTCTTTATCCAACAGAAATGGAGTACAAAGAGCATCCATCACAACAGGTACCACAAATACTTTTAAATAAAAATCAGATCAGTAACAATAGATTAGTAAAATCCTCAAAGTTTAAATGAAGCTATATAGAAGTAAATGGCACTAGATTTCCATGACAGCTATTTCTAATCAAGCAACTTTCAGTAAATAGATAAAGTTGCAATGACTCGTTAATTATGAGTCACTGCTTATAAACATAAACTGAGCCTGCAGCTTCTCCATATCTTGTTTGGAGTTCACAGAGTAACATGTTGGGGTAAAAGTAATCCCAAAAAGAAATCAACAGGAAAATTGCTATGCCCAACTTTTGCTTTTAAAATGGTCTCAAAGACTGCAGAGTTGCATGCATGAGCTGCCTAGTACAGAACAATGTGAACATGCAATCTGCTCATTTTTCATAACCAGGCCAGGGACACACTACCACTTACTCTGGAATGGCTAGTATAAACAGTATTGAAATTATGACTATGCAAGGCCACCTAGTTCACTTCACCCAACATGGTGAAATGGACTGAGCCCTAATTTAGTTCAGACCAGATATGAACCTTAACAAAAATTCAGAAATCTGAATCTTCACATATTCCACTGTGTTGTATAGTAAAACCAAATTGGCCTTCATCTTGTTTTGTTTTCACAGACAAGTGCAACCCAGAGTGCAATCCAAACTGGCTTGATATAGGATTTAGATGAACCAGCTGAACAGCCCCAGTTCAAATGCCAATATACCTTCTGGATGTGTGAGCTATACGGAAATGTGTCCTTCCTTGTATCTGGACACAAGGGTTTCAAAGCATCTCCATAGGAATAATCCAGTTTACTTGCTGCTCCTAATTTTGAACATGCTATGAACTTTGGGACCCATCCTAGGAACGTGCTACAGTCCTGGGGCCCTTTCACATACTATTATAGTACACTGATTCTACTTTAACTGCCATAGTCCTATCTTATGAAATCCTGGGATTTGAAGTTTAGAAGGGAGCCTTTAGAATCCTCACCCAGGGATCTCTTCTTTTGCCTCTGACCAAACTACAAGGCCCAGGATTCATTAAGAGGCAGATATATCAGTTAAAGTGGAATCATAGTGCTATAATTGTGTAATGTGAATGGGCCCCACTAAGAAGAAACACGGCTAAATTCAAACAGAGCTAGACTGTTCAGTGATAGCCTACAGGAAATATTTGGTGCTAGACTTAAACTCAATCATATCCTGACATAGGCAAGTTTATAGGCTGATTTCTGGATGCTTTCTATCTTGTCTTCTCTGGGTTCATACACTGGTATCCAGGTTAAGGACGATGCCACAGCAAACTACATACCATAAGAACTTTCAATCCCTGCCACATCTGAAGATCAGTATCACACAACCCAGGGATACAAGACCTACACATAGATCCAATCAAGGGGGATTAGTTCCACCAGA